TTATTATAATTTCTTCTGTTTGCAGCTTTATGATTTCATATTAATTTTTTTTTTTGGTTTAACTTCTTCCTGATTTATGTGAACATTATATTCTAAGCGGACCAGGTTTTGAGTACAAATTTTCACACTTGTGGGGCACTTAATTGCTTTTACAAATTTTTGCTTATTCATATATTCTCGTTATGGTTTATCCTCATGCTATATTTATTTCTGGAAAAGCCCTCATCTGACTGCAGCTGTTGTCAAAGACAAAGAATCAGGTGCTTTTACCATAGAAGCGGTGCTTTAATACTAGCGGATAACATAAGTAATATAATATTTAATTGATTAAATGTGTTTGATTATAAAAAATTTATTCATTAGTATTATTACTATAGGGTTGGATTTAAATTTTTTACAAAGTTCTAGGAAAGATCCACATGTAGTAGCTACACTCTTAAAGATGTATTTGCGCAAATGTATGTGATAATAATAACAGCTTATGAATTACTATTTCAAAATAGATTATGTTTTTTCGATCATAATTGATTTATTATTTTTATTCTACAGTGCCAGAATCTATACTGACAAAGGAGCTTTTACCGGACTTTAGTGCATGCATAGCGAAGCACACTAACTCTGATCTCAATGCTATACCACCAGCAGTTGTACCTGCATCTGGATCTCAACAGATGTCCACTACCTATTTCACCGCTCCAACTGTGGTTCCTGAAGCATTTCCTCACGATCTTGCAACCATCATTTCTCTATCATTTTTATACATTACGTCCCTTTTTTCACATCTTTCTCGACTGATAGTAAGAGTGACACGAACAAAGTGACTATCAACAACCTCGGCCTGATATTTTGCCCAGTTTGAGAATAGGCTTAATTCTTTTCAAGCTTTTATATACCAGGATGTAATAGTGAAAAAACAGAAATTGAAAATAAAAAACGAGAACAAGAAGTTAGAAAAAAGCAAGTGCTGCAGGTATATCACAGAACTTATATTTCCGAAGATTTCTCAAAAACTTTTGAAGACCTGTTGATAATTGATAGACATCCTAGTGCAAATCATTCGAATAATTCATATCTATCATTGTCATCATCTTCCGTAAAAGGTTTACCTGTAAATAAAAACAATATTGACGCTTCTAACAATAATCAAGACAATACTATGAAAAATTTGTTACAAATAATACGAAATTCTCTACAATTCCACCACTTTCATTATCATCATCTATAACAGTGCCATCTACGCTATCAGTAAAAGACGCTAACAAAGATATAAGTAGCCAATTAATTATGACGAATTTCCTTAGCAGTGTAATCATTTTTTTGTAAATATAGTTAGTATAGAAAAACCAAGGAGAGTTTTAACATCTTTTCGTTTAAGATCTAGTAGTGTTTCGTTGAAAGTCATAGAATTAGAAGATTTTTCAGAATTAGAAAAACAAAACCTTATTGGAGGCAAAGGTTCCTGATATAAGTTCACCAACCTTATATCGTTTGATTATTCTGAACAATTTGGCACTAAGAAATAACTAATTATATATATTTTTATTCAATTAGGTAATCTACGCTATTGACGAATTTGATAAAATGTCGGATGGAACACGCGCTATCCTTCATGAAGTGATGGTTAGTATACCATTCATTTATTATAGCAACCACTGAGGAATATTTACATTCATTCGCCTTTATATAAATAGGAGCAACAAACTGTCTCTGTTGCTAAAGCTGGGATTATTACGACTCTTAACGCTCGTACATCTGTCCTTGCATCTGCTAACCCGGTTGAATCGAAATATAATCCAAAACTTTCCATAGTCAAGAACATTGATTTACCACCAACTTTAATGTCTAGGTAACATAACAACTATTTGTAACTTTTATTTACTCACATATATAATATGACAGAAAATAGCCAACTTATAAATATATTTCAATCTTCAGATTTGATCTGATTTACCTAGTATTGGATAAAGTAGATTGGAATGCAGATAGAAAATTAGCAAAACATTTAGTTGCTTTGTACAGAGATGATAATCCCTATGTTTCCAGAAGAGATATTTTGGTGAGTTAATTTAATTATATTACATAATAATTTTCAAATTCGCATAAACTTAACACATAGTTTTATAGCCTATCAAGACTTTAACAAAATATATTAAATACGCTCGCAAAAATTATCATCCGTTTATTGGAGATGATCAATCAGCCAACGCTTTGGTCAGTGCTTATGTAGATTTGCGTAAAGTCGGGATTGACCCTCGTTCTTCTGAAAACATAATTACTGCAACGACTAGGCAACTGGAATCAATGATTAGACTGTCAGAAGCCCATGCACGCATGAGGTAATTTGAGTTAACAATTGTGGTAACTTATGCTTAGGGTTACTAATAGTGTACTATACTCTGGAGCCACTCCGGGTTGAATCAAATCCAACATGGTGTGGATTTAAAAGAACGTCTATAAATTTGGTGCAACCTGGAGTAGATCTAGTGCAATTTGAAGTAGGATCTGGTGCGAGTCTAATTAAATGGGTGGGTTGAAAGTTGGATCAACCCATCCCATTAACAACTCATGCTAAAACTAGCTAATTTTTAAAATTTGGGTATATTTAAATTTATGGTACTACTTATAAATTACGATGCAAGTACTGTATAGCGCTGCCTATAATACCCCGGTCTTATTCGGAGAACAGTAAATGCTATATTTAATAATATGACTTATGGCCAAAAAATGTTGGCGTTTGTAGTTGGACAGTACATCGGTATTGTATGAAGGGATAACTTTATCAAACGGTGGTTTAGACAGCGCTATACAATGGAGGTTAATATTACCTTATTACCCTTTTTCTGCAACTTTAATTGGTTGAAAGAAGGTTCAACCAATTATAGTTGCAGATTTTGATAAATTTTATATAGAATTTAATTATTTAATATAACCTCTATTTATTCAGAAATTGTCCAAAAAAAATTTTAAATCCACAATTAAACAGATCAAAACTTCATAAGTTGCCATAATAATTATGTCTACTGTGAATATTCACTTAATATTATATTTTATTTAGGCTTTCACAAAAAGTTAACATATTGGATGTTAAAGAAGCTGAACGACTGCTTAGAGAAGCAATACAGCTTTCTGCATGGGATCCTGAAACCGGTAGAATTGATATGGATTTAATTACTACAGGGCATGGTAGCCATGAAAGACGTGTACTTGAAGCTATGCGCGACGCCTTTGCAAAGATGTTGTTGGAAATGAGTTCAAAAAGCATATCGCTTAAAAAAGCTTTAGAAGATTTTAAAGCACAATCAGATGAGGTAAGTTGTATGAAGTTCGTTTAGGATCCTACTCCGTGTGTGAAATAATTATCTTACTAGTTTAATTAAAAATACTTTTATATATGCAGCCAATTTATGATAAACAATTTGAAAGTATTCTCCGAACTCTAGAACATGATGGAGTCATTAAAGTTACTGGAACTAGTCGAAGTGACCGTACGATAACAATTATCTGATCGTTAATACTTGTATATCAAACATATAACAAATTTTTTTACATGCAAATAATAAATCAACGAGAAATGCAATCTTTCTCTTGCATGTTTCTTATACAATTTTGTTCTATAGTGTCGCATAATATACATGGTCTTTTAATGTTTTTCTATTCGTTTACCGGCGTATCATTCAGGTACTACCACTAAAATGATGACAATTCAATATACGTTACTTGTCGCCCAAACTGAAAGTTTCAAAAACCTACACAAATCCCACACGTAATAAAATTGTTCCAAATCCCAAACTTTAGAAGCTTTGCCAGCATTCGGATCTTTAACCAAACATTGCTTTAGAAAACCTAAATATGGTCAAATTATCGCATTATTAGTTACTTACATGTATTTTGACTTTATTTTTATTTTATTTTATTTTAACGCTATAACAAAACCACTTTCTAGCTTAAGAACTGCATTCATTTTTAGGTACTCATTAAATACATTGACAAATTTATTTGAATCGGCAATTGTTGTAGATTATTATAGTGCATTTTTTTAAAATTAGCCAAATTCCGATTAAATTTGATTTTTTAACTAGTGATAAATAAATCATGTAATTATGTTACAGCTCAAATAACCTAGTTGTTACAATTAAATTTAAAATGCCAACTCTTGTTTATAAAAAAAAAAACATTCAAAAATCTTTTATAAAATATTAAAACTATTTACTGTAAATAAAATCTTGGTAGTTTAATTTGCTTAAAAAATTATTTTATCGCGATTTTTGAAAATTTTTTGAACATCGCGAATATTAGAATAAATGCCCTTAGTCCGATTTTACATATATACAATGTAATTGTTATACGTAGTAAACAATTATAGTATTCGTTATGTTGGTTTTTTTTATTGATTTTGTTACATATTATATTAATGCCTTGAATTAATTAAAAATTTCTAAAGAAAATTAATTACTTAATACTTGAAATGTTTTGAAGAAAAGTTATATTCATATTTATAACATTATGTTATATAACACCTAATATACTAGTTCCCTCAAATGCGAAATTCTCACAACCTTTTCTTGTAATCATTCGACACTTATTCCGTGAAATAAACAATATTTAAAATCATTTGCAGTAAATCATCTGCACGCATGACTAAATCGCAGTACAATTATAATACTTTAAATAAACATTTTAGTAGAATAATCTAACAATGCAATAATAAACAAACTAAGTCGAGGTGAATGTTCACAGTTCTTTGGATAATTAAGTTTAAACATTCGTTCTTTCCATTGATGCTCACGATCCACATCTTTCCATTGATGCTCGCGATCCACATCTTTCCATTGATGCTCGCGATCCACATCTTTCCATTGATGCTCACGATCCACATCTTTCCACTGATGCTCGTGATCCACATCTTTCCATGGATGCTCGCGATCCACATCTTTCCATTGATGCTCGCGATCTACATCTTTCCATTGATGTTCACGATCCAAAAGAAATAATTTCGCCATAACAGTGTGTCGAGTAACCTCTTCCTCTTTTCCGGTAAATACTACCAAGAAAATTATTATTTTAATTTCGTACAGACTGAGCAAGTTTAAAATTTTAACTAACTTTTTTGTTCGTGTAATAAGGGTTTTGCACCAGTTTTAAAAGATACTACTTCTGCATCACTTTTTTTACCATCATCATCGTTATCATCACTGTCATTTCGTGTAGGTTCATCAAAGATAGAAAAGACTGTGTTGTGGAAGATCCAAATTTTTTAATTAATGAAGTAGAATACTTAAAAAATCCAACTGGCTACAAATAAATTAAAGCTAATTAATTACTATCCATAACAAAAAAAAAATAAATTGCGTAAATAATTTATGTATATATAATAAATGTACCTTGTAAAGAACTAGAACCAGAAATGCCAAATATTTTGGTAGTTGTAATAGAAGTTGGTATATTACCTTTTCCAACTGCACCAAAGTTTTGAGTAGTTATTTTCCGCATTCTTTTTCCACAACCGACTCTACACAAGTTTTATCATCGAAAATCACTTCAACCCTCTTAGGTAATGCTTGGTCAGAAATCTTTTCACTTTTCTCATATTTATTGCTATTTTACGTTACACCTGATCTAGCCAATCAAAATTCAGAATTTGCTAACAGTCTAGCTAAAAAATTTCGCTGATCTTATTAAAAAAAACTGTTTCGCAATTAGTTTAGGGTCCCACCGGTAGATTAGTATTTGGTTTAAAAGAATTATAGTAATAGTATAACTTCACGAGGAAAATTTTTTGTTAGTACGCAGAAGGCACATTCATAGGCAAAATTTAAGTTACAGGTGTTTTTTTTGCGCTTCTTTTACGTTACACATGTCTTTAAATCTGATTGGCTAGCGAAATTAATTAGGGTGGTTTGACTAAGGGTAGTACCACTAGGGCCGGGCTTGGTCATCGAGACACAAACCTTATGGCAGTATAGGGCCAAAAAATCCAAACCCTTAGATTACAGAGATAGGGCTTGGATACTACCCGTGTCTCCGTGATTTAGGGTTCCTACAAAAATTGTTCATTCTGGTAATTTTGACTTATCTAAATTTAGATCAGGTGCCAAAACAAACATGCTTTGTTTTTTAAGTAAAAAAATTACATGCAAAATAAAAACCAAGAAAATCGTGTTATAGTTAAGGCTATAGGATAATAATAATATATTGCTTATTAGTAAAACATTATATAAAAAACATTTTTTAATTAGGTTACAGAAGGTGGTTTACTAATTAAAATTAGAGTTATTTTGTTTTTTTAAAAAAGTGGATTTGTTTCAATTTTATATTATACCTGATTCTAAAATTCTTTTTTTTTTTTTTTTTTTTTTTAAGCTTCGCAATGTTATATAAAAGTAGATTTTATTAGAAGTTTTTTTTTTTTAATCTTCAAAGATAAGGCCTTTTATTAGATATTTAAGTAATATATTCTTGGTTAATGAGAATATATTTAGCCATATACAGTATATAACTTTTGGTTGTCTATTTAAGTAATCTGCTCGAAGGTTTTATACTAGATGCTATTCCTGTAATCTAACTAGGAGATTATCTATTTAAACTTTCTGATATTCCTGTTCTGTATTACCACTATAATTATATCAATATATACCTGTTTTAATTAAAGACTACTTAAATCAACATCTGCTATACTACTTGTATTCTATTTCTATAAATAATCTAATACAATTCTCATATTATCAGATTACTTTAGAGAGGTATAGTATATATCTTTTTAATTTTTCAGATTAAATTTTAAATACCTTTTGCAATAGTTGAAACCAATAATGTATATTTTAACTGTCTAAAAGTTTTTTTTGGCACTGTCCAATATTCAAATATTCAAGTGTCCACAAGTGTTCAAAGCATGTCCAAGCTTTAATAATTAAATTTTATTTTTTTTGATAATCAAGGTTAGCCTCTTTAGCTTATTGCTTTTATTAGATTGTAGAATTATATAGTGTTTTTTTCAAAGAGGCACTGAACAAGTATATTTTGATTAAGATACATTCTAGCTATATCTGCACCTTTTAGATGCCTAATTAAGTATTCTACTTATGTGCTAAGTGTTACACTAGATGCCGTATCTATAACCTACTATTACTTGAGTTATCTAATTAAATTCTCTGATCTGAGTTTTCTATATCAATCTGTCTAACCTCACCTAGAATATGCAATATATTAGTTAGTTCAAGTTCCAAGGTCATCGCATTCACCTATAGGACTACTGATATAGTTAACCAATTCATCTTTGAGTGCATTACCTACTAGAGCAGTTCAGTACCCACTATTTCTGTATTGTTTAGTCTTCTTCAGTAACTTATGCTAAGTCTGAGAACAAGTACTTGTAAGCTGAAGCCACTATAGTTATCTACTATCATCCTTATAGAGTTCACCCAAACCTTAGTATACCTACAGACTATTACCGATATCTCAGCTATCCCAAACTACTAATCCAAATAGCATGGAAGGGTTATGACCTGCCCCTGGTCCCCATAATTGGGTCCTTTTCTTATAGTTACTCCTCCGATGGCCTAGTTGATAGAGTGTTTTGTCAAACACTTTGGTCCCATTCAGTTTATATGGTTCTCTGAGTATTAATCTGCATGTAGTACTGTTAAAGATCTGTACTACCTCTCTATTTAAAATTTTTTAAGCAAACTTCCTACTGCCATATTAGTCCTGTGGCTTTCTGCAATTCTGAAGGACTTATCTTGAATTTGCACCAACTAAACCGGTTTGCATATCTTTATGTAATTCCTTTATTATACAAATACACCAGAACCTTTCAATTTTTATCTTGGTATAACTACAGTTATAGGGTCTTAAGTTTTCTCAGCCACAACAATAGTTGTCAAATCTATTTTTCTAAATCTAATTTTCGCTTTCCATGGAAATTGAACTTATACTCTACTGCTTGAGAATGCAACAACTTTATCACTTCACTAAGTTGCTACACTCTTAGCTTTAATAATTAATAAAATTATATAAAAAATATATAATTATATATTTTTTTAGGTGCTAAACATATTTTATTTAGAAAATAATATAGGTTATTCTAATAAAATTTTAAGTAATTTTAACTTATTTAATTGTTTAAAATTGTCTAAAGTGTTCAAACATACTGTCCACAACTGTCCTGTGACAACACTGGTTGAAACTACTACTAGCAGTTAGGACTAACTATAAAACTATACAATTTTAGTATTCATATCTTTACAAGATTCATTCTAACCCTAATATCTACATCAAATTAGTTTTTTTATTGATCTCTTCCTAACTATCAAACTAGTTAGCTCAGATAGATTATTGTAACTAAGATTTAAATATCCTCTGGCTTTACTTCTCTTGGTTTCTAATTCTATAGCATAGGACTTTTTCCTCTAGTACAACTCTGGCAGTTAGATTGGTAAATTCTTCTTGCTTTAGAGTTTTTGTCTGGTTTTTTAGTTTTTAGTTCTAGTTTTTTACAATATCATAAAAGATTTTTATTATCTCTTTGCTCAAGTCTTGCTAAATAGGTTTTAAATATTTTATTTTTTAAATTTAGATCACCCAAGAGTTTCTATTTCAAAATGATAGTACCAAGACTATAGGTAATATACTCAACTGATCATTAAATAAATGTTATCAGTATACAAATTTATTTTTCTAAAAATGTCTTTAGTAGAATTTGAACTCTAAATCTGTTGCTTAAAATAACAACTTAATTATGACTTTAAATTACTAATTATACTACAGAATCCTGATATTCAAAATCCTGATATACAAAATCTTGACAAACAAAATTCTGATATCAAAATTCTAATACTGCCAAATATTAATAGTAGTATTATTAAGATTTTGGCAATATTAGGATTTTGTTATTAGAATTTTGTTTATCGAAATTTTGTATATTGGGATTTTGAATGTCAGGATTAAATAGTATAACCTAAGTTACTATACCTACTTTTTAATTTTAAAATTTAATTAGTCAAAAATTGTAAAAAATAAATAATTTTTTGTAAAAGAGTTATATATTTATAATACAATCTATTAATATATTATACAAAACTGTTTATATACTAATTAATGTAAAAATAAAAAATAAAAATTTAAAAATAAAATTTAACCTCTAAAAAATTTTGATAATTGGTATTTTAAAAATTTTTATATCTAGTATTACCAATCTAAAAATTTTTATAACTAATTAAAATTTTATAATTATTTAAAATTTTTAAAATTTTTTTAGTTTAAAAAAAGATTTTTAAGAATTTTGCGAGTCAATAACAATTTTACCAAATTTAATAAGAATTTTTTATTTTAATTTTATATTTTGTAAAATTAAAATAAAAAAAAAATATTAAATTTGATTTAGTAATTATTAAAATATCTTAGCTAGAAGTTTAAAAAAAATTAAAATATCAAAATAAAACAAAAATGAGCTTTCATTTATTATATAAATATAATCTATTTTAAAATTATTAATTGACTATTTTCTAAGAGTCCAAAGTCAGTTATTTGATAATTACAAAAATTAAAATAATTAATAAAATAATTAGTACATTATTTTAGAGTGACTCTATAATCGACCAATTAAATTAACCATATAAATCATATGATTGATTAATATCAATTGTTAATCATATAATTTATATAATCAATTTTGATTGATCAATCACATATCCCTTAAACTGTAGGCTCTTCCAGGCAAATTTGCCTAGAAAATTATCATAAATATTGTTATGATCTACTTTTTT